AATACATTTCTTCTATTTGTAATTTTTAATGGGTATCAAATTAAAAATTCCCAAATATTTTCGTTCTGATAGAAACGGAACTACATTAAAAAAACTGCATTGTTGTAATTATTTATTAACATTGAACGACATAAAATTATGGGGGAAAACAATAAAAACAATTAATTAAGAATTTTGCAAAATGTTATATAGAAAAGTTGTTTTACTTTGTGAGTTATTTCACGTGTTAAAATTAACACACGTATTTCTAATATGTATGTTGTAAATGTGCCAAAAAGATTGAAAATACCATAAACAATTTGCTAAGATTGAAATCGGACTTAAGCCCTTGAAAAAAGTAATACCGGACATAACATACTCTATTTCTCGCACATTTTTGTTATAAAAGCTTCATTTTGACCCAATTTCTTGTTTACTACTCCTATTTTAATAAATCTAAGGAAAACAAAAATTTCAAACTTTTATTTTCGAAATTTTGAACGATTTTTTTTCGGACACTAACTACTAAGTAAAAAATAAAGATGGATTGAGATTTTTAAAACGATTTTTCATAAAATACTCTGAAGCTCTGAAGTTTTTCAGAGGCCAAAAATGTACATTTTTTGATTCGATGCGAAAATGCAATAATTAAGCATTACTACTTTTAGAAGTAGTACAACTTTATTCTACAAATGATTATTATAATTAACAAAAAAATATATAATTTCAATAATTTTTTCAATAAATGAAAATGTGACAAACAAATTGAAAATACCAAAAACAATCGAATTTTTATAGCAAACTTAAGCCCTAGGAAAAAAGTAATGCCGGACTTAACATTTTAAGTTGTACGATTGTATTTCCCGCACATTGTTTCTAATATATTTAAAAAAAATAAAAATTTGAAACTCCTTTTCGAAATTTTTAACGATTTTTTTTTCAGAAAAAAAAATCAGATGGTGATTTTTTCTTGTTGGTCAAAAAATTAATATACCAGAAAACTTTTTTTCTTACTCAACATTTTTTGATTATTAAAGAACACTTTGGACTCACTTCATGGCAAATTTAGAAGAGTAAGAAATCATAAACCAAATTGGGACATTTCTAATTTTTTATTAAAAAAAGTTATTGCGTGTATTGATGTTTTTCTGGGACTTTAAATTATAAAACAGAATCGGACTGTTGGAGGTAAATGGCATAAATAACATTGAAACAATTATCTATTGATTATATACAAAGTGTACATTTAAAAATAACTATATTTACGACATGAAATATCAAGAGCACTTAAGTTTCGCATCTTAAAATTTACATTGAGCTGTCTTCATTGATATTAAAACATCTTAAAAAATAACACGTAGGATTTTGGTACAAGTGGTAATCATTCCGTTTCAATAGGGTTTTCACAATATATACATATCATTGCTTCAACACTCGACGTTTAAACACAACACAGGCCAATGAAGACAGTTTTATTATTTACACACTCGCTTTAACAAGCAGTCCGATCGACTTTCGGTGTTACTAAACTCTGACCTTCGGAACTGTCCGAATCCGACGAATCGCCATCACTCACAGCCACCACATTGTAGTTACATGTTACTTTAGGTTTTTTTATGGATACCCTGCTGTAGCCTCGCGGCGCTGCCTGAATACTGTTTCTCTGTAACAACAAAAAAAGTAGGTAACACCAGAGGCGTGGTCGCCAAGGGCGGGCCCCCAAGCTTGCCACCAAAAGCTTCAATTTTTTATATTTAAATTTTAATATAAAAACCTTATGACCTTTATAAAAAAACATTAGAATTCTTTTTAAATCACACTTATTAATACAAATCATACATACAGGGTGTTCGGTCCAAGTCGCCCCGGCTGACAACATCTAAACTTACTTCTTTTTTTCAAAAAGTAAATATTTAGGTAATAATATTCATTCTTGGCTTTCTTAATAAATGTATCAAATTTTTTTAGCACATCCGGTGTTGCCGGAAATGCTACCAAATTTAGTTTTTCAAATGGAACATCTATGTTTTTTTCCTCCAAACAATAATAATTGACATGAAAAATACTGTAAAACACTATTTATTACATTTTGCGCAACACAATGCAATCAAAAAAAACATCTTAAATGTTAGAATTGTATAATGAAATTTAAAGGAAAGATGTGAATAAAAAAAATGTTTGGAAAAATTGTTGGTTTGACAAATCTAATTTGTCAGTTGATGAGCGAGTTCTCTTATGGAAACTCTTGGATTTTCTTCGACTGATAACAGACTGATAACAATTCGACTAAATTTCCAACGATTTGGGTGAACTCTACTGAGTATTTTTCTCTATACTGTCTTTCGCTCTATTTTTATTGCACTTAAAAAACACTTCAAGCTAATCTACCAATTCGTCGTAATTAATATCATCCATTATTAAAGATCTCAATAAGATTTATTGACAAAATAGGCTTTGTCAAAGTAACAATTAAACGGTATCCAAGCACGTTGCAAAATTTGCAATAAAATTCAAAAATTTAAATTGTTTTCTGAGTGCATTATGTAAAGTAAAATGTAATAAATAGTGGTTTACCGTAGTTTTCATACCAATTATTATTGTTTTGAGCAAAAAAACATAGGTGGTCCATTTGAAAAACTAAATTTGGTAGCATTTCCGGCTACACCGGATGTGCCAAAAAAATTTGATGCATTTACTAAGAAAGCTAGGAATGAATAGTGTTATTTAAAAATTTAGTTTTTGGAAAAAACAAGTAAATTTAGGTGTTATCGGCCGGGGCGACTTGGACCGAACACCCTGTATACCGAGAGATCAAAATAATTTGTAATGAGTCATTTTTGGATCCGAAAATGTACAGTTGCGGAATTAAGATTTCGGGCAGTACTGTCATTTTCATAATGTAAACTCTAAAACAACCTTTATATTAATAACCTCATTTTTTACTTTTGTCATATTTATGTCATTTTGACTTATTTTTTCAAAAATAGTGATTTGTGGCATAATAACGGGTAGTCAGCAGATCAAAGCGATACTTAGTTCAATTAATAAATTTCCTAAGAAAAATTGTTTAATTAACAAATTTAACAACAAATAAAAATAAATTTAATTGTCAAATTGTCAAATGTCAGTCATGATGACAGTAAAAGGTAGTTTACAGTGAACTTTTTTAAGTGACAGAAAAATAGGTACTGCCCGAATTTTTAATTCTGCAACTGTACGTATGTCTGTTTTTGAACTAACTGCACGTGAAATGTCAAATAAAATGACAAGTCGAAAACGGGAAAATGGTCTGGAATTAGTCGCCGATGTATAATAATAAGACCGTTCTTTTTTGAAGAAAAATAATAAATTTAGTTATTTTTTTGATCATGGGATTTTACTTTTCCACTTGTCATTTTATTTGGCGTTTCACAGACATACGCACAGGACATACGTTTTCGGATACAAGGACAATTATCGTGATCTCTCGATACTTACTTAGTTTTTACTAATTTAAAAAGAAATCATCAATTGTAATTTTCTTTGGGCCACATCTTAGGTATTTAATTAAATTAAGTTTATATCTGTTTGAATAATGAACTTTACCAACTCGCTAGTAAACCTTATACACAATTTTCAACCTGTTTTAAAATTCCACACTTTTTGGTATTTGGGTAATGACGGCAGCGACATTTTTTTTAATGGGAACCCTTATTTTTTTAGCGAATTTGATAGATTTTTTAATTATCGAAATGGCAACACCAAAATATTATGTATTACATAAAATTCTGAAAAAAAATTATCCAAAAAGTGAAATAATATCAATAAAAAACAAAGATAGAATTTTAAATCAAGTTAAAAATTTTGTATTTTTTAAAAAGAAAATTGACCTGTTCGAGCATTTTTCCAAAACAAAATATTTTCAGTTTTAATAAATAAGATTATTCTATAATTTTTCCGCTCACTTATACCCTCATCATTCTAAAAATTTTTAGATAGCGCCCCCCCCCCCAAATTAATTCCTGGATCCGCCCCTGGTGGTCGCCGAGGGCATTTTCATCGAAAATGTGTTTACATCAAAAAATCACAAAGCCTCACCTGTAAAACTATAAAAACTGTTATAAAAAGTATAACAACACACAAAACGGCGATTATTGCCAGGCCCGTAATGAAATTAAACGGCCCGATTAGTTGTAAAGTCGAGACGGGTTGTGCTGAGAGCAATAAAGCTTGAACATCGATTCTGCGTTTGTCCTCTTGTACTTTACAACCTGAAAAAGATTTTTGGATATACAGGGTGTTCCATTTTTATTGTTACAAATTTAAACAGGTGATAGGATATTCAATTCTAAGACAAAAGTTTGGTAAAGACGATAATGTTTAACAACATCAAATGTCGAAATTTTTAATCAGGGGCGTACGAAACTGGGGGAGTTTAAGGTAAAAAAATACCCTATTTATTTTGGCTTTAGTTTCTCGGTACTTTCAGCAACAAAATCTTAAGTTCGATAGTTTATCACAGAAAAGTCTCTCTTGTGTCGATACGATTTATTGTTTTTGAATAAAATTAATTTAAAATTTATGTTACACACCAATACAACATTCAAATAAATCAGAATTTACAGAATAATAAAAGCAAGAAATTCATATTTTTTAATCAACCTCAACTAATTAACATTACATTACAGTAACAATAATAACATTAATTAAATGAATTTGCCTAAATCTAAAGGAGTTGTTCAAAGTGACCACCATTTTGGTAAATGCATAACTAAAGAAACTAGAGCCAAAATAGATAGGGTATTTTTTTACCCTAAACCCCACCAATTTCGGACGCCCCTGATTAGAAATTACGACATTTGATGTTTGAATTCGTTTAGGTGTATAAAGATTATCATCTGTACCAAATTTTGTAATTTTATCTTAAATGGTTTCTGAAATATTAGCAAAAACCTATTAGCCCCTTTCCAGGGGGTGTAGCTCCCTTACCAAGCATTTTTCGATACATGTTTATAGGAAACTTTTGTCTTAGAATTGAATATCCTATCACCTGTTTAAATTTGTAACAATAAAAACACAACACCCTGTACCGTGTGTGCAAAAAAAAAATTACCTATGCAATTCCTGCAGGAATAATGGCACTTTTGACACCCATAATCCGTCTTGTAGTAGCCTTCTGGACAATCAGGGCGGCATTCCCCGGCCAAGAGTTGCCAACCTTGCGGACAACTAACACACTGGTTGTGTGCTGGACCACTACATGTTTTACAACTCATGTAACATCTCGCACAGATTCCTTTATCGCTGTAGTAGCCTGTGGCACAGGTGGAACTGCATTCGCCACTTTGCAACTATCGAGTGGGAGAAAAAATTTAGTATGTGATTCGGGTGTGTGTGGTGTGGAGCGTACGTGTAATCCGGGTATGCATTCGCTGCAGTTCATTTTTGAGACGCATTTAGTGCAAGTATGGAGACAGGGCTCACACAGACGGGTTCCCTTATCGTGGAAGAAGGTTTTATCACAGACGGCGACGCAACGAGTGTCTTGGAGGATGAGAGGGCTGGCGCAGGAGAGACAGGCGTGTTCGGTGGGGCCGTCGCAGGATTCGCATGTCGAGTGGCAGGGTTTGCATAAGCCGCCGTCGAAATATTGGTCTACGAAAGGAAAAACCAGTGAAAAATTATAAAAAAAGTAGAAAGCCTTTTATTAAAAAAGATCGTAGATAAAATTTCGTATTTGACTCGCACAAAAAGACTATAATTTGCTTGGGTGATTTAGACACTCGCCGTTGGCTCGTGTATAAACTTCACCTCGTTAAATAATATACTATAGTTGGATTTTTCTTGAAAAGTATAAATTATAAGTAAAAACATTTTTTAAAATTGAAATTTAATAAGTCTAAAAAATTAAAAATTTCAAACTCTCATTTTCGAAATTTTGAACGTTTTTTTTTTTGGAAACTAACTCTTAGGTAAAAAACAAAGATAGATTGAAATTTCAAGGACAATTTTTCATAAAATACAATCATTTCTGAAGTTCTTCGAAGATTTTCAGATGCCAAAAATTGTAAAAAAATTGCAAAAAATACCAAAAATAAACAAATACCAGTATATTTTTTCAAAACTATTTGTTATTGAAAATTTCAAGATATAAAATCGTGTTTTTGAGTAGTCATATACTGAAAAAAATATTTCCCATATATATTTTTTTATTTTCGTGAATCTTAAAAACACCAAAAAATTCCAAAATTGTTTTTCAAGATATTTAATTGAGTTTTTCTAGAAAACTGTAAGCCGTTGGTAACAAACAATTGTAGATTTGAATTCCTAGGACAATTTTACCTGAATTCTAATCCTCGAAAATTAAATTAATTACTCGAAAAGTCAAAAAACGATTTTAAAATTATCGCCAAAAAACTAAAAAAATACAAAAAATAAATAAACATCGGCCGATTTTTAGAAAACTACTTGTCGTAGGACATTTTAACTTGTACCATCGTATTTTTCGTGCAATTCTACTACTAAAAACTCTATTTTCCACCCACAAAATTATGTAAATCTAGCTAAATAATTGATAATTCCAAAAACAAATCCTAGAAAAACTGAGTTTTTCTTTGAAACTTCGAGTCCTAGCACAAAAATAATGACAGATGTGGATTCCTAGGACCCCCAGATATTCGAAAAGCCAAAAAACAATTTTAAAATAATCGCCAATAAAATATATAACTAATACAAAAAAACAAAAAAAAAAAAAGAAAATGTCGGTCGATTTCTAAAAAACGTGTTATAGAACATTTTAACTTATAGCATCGTATTTCTCACAGATTTTGATGTTTTAAACTCTTCAATTTGACCTAATTCCTTTTTTATTATTTTAGTAAATTAAAAAAAAAATTAAAAATATCAAACTTTTATTTTGAATTTTTTTTTGGAAGCTATAAATCTTAAATAAAAGTCGGATTGGGATTCCTAGGACGATTTTCCATGAGATGCAATTATTTTTATTGCCAAATGAAGAATTAAATTTAAACTCATCATCTCTGTGATGATTTGTCAATTTGTTGGTAACACTAATTTTTTATTTCCAACTGAGAACACATTTTGTTACACTAAACGGGAAAAAGAAGAATTTTTCAAAACCAATTGAGGAAACAAATTTAAATTTATTATTTTTAAATTAAAGGAGAGCTTTAATCTGCATTTTTTTTGGAAATCACTGGAAAAAAATGTCGAAATAGGCTTTTATCTAACATTAATTTTTGGTGGCTAATTGGGAAAATTAATTTAAATTCATTAAATTTGCCTCTTTTTCAAAGAAAATTCGAATTGACTTAAAACAGTTTTTTTTTTGGATAATTGGTGGGGTTGGTTACAAAAGCCAATAATAATCATTTCCCATTCAAGTAGTTACCAATAACGTGAGAACAAACCGGTTTTTATTCCTTATTGGCCAAAATCCGACAAAACCCTAGCAACGATAAGTAACTCCACCCATAAAAAATCGTGAATAATTATTGAATTCTGCATCGAATTTCTGTAACAAATCAGCGTTTAGTGTAAATTATCTTACTTTAATTGGATCTAATTTTGCACAGTGGGTGGAGCCAACCCTGGAGCCAATACGATTTTCGATTATTAGACCAATAAAAAGTAAAAAATTATTTAATGTCTTAAAACTGAGTGTTATTGTTCGATTCTTAGCCAATCAATTACGTCTTTTAAAAACAACAAATCAGAATACGTCTTAGATTTTTCGACAAGAAAAATAAAAATAAGTCAGATTTTTGTTTTAAAATCGGCTTCTTTGATTTTATTGTCAATGTAAAAAATTATTATTTGAAGAATAAACGTTAGTTAATTTTCTTTACTGTCAAATGTGCAAATTGTCAAAATTTTACATTTTTGGAAGATTTACATAACACTGTATTTAGTACATTTCTTGAACTCTAAAGCTCTCCGATGTCTTTCAGATACAAAAAATTGTAAAAATTGAAAAAATCTTAAAAATTAAGGAAATATCAGAAATTCGTGTTTTTTGTGTAATTTCATACTTAAAAAAATTTCATTCGTTAATTTTTTTAAATATTTTACTGTTTTTATCTAAAAAAAATGTCCAAATTGATTTTCAAGATATTTAAATTTGAGTTTTTCTAAAAAACTGAACCTCATCGGTAAAAAACAAACAAAATGCAATCAAATCCGTGCCACCCTAGATAATCAAAAAGTCAAAAAAACAATTTTAAAGTTATCTCCAAAAAAAAAAAACAAAAAATGAACAAAACATCGATCGATTTTTAGAAAACTACTTGTCGTAAGACATTTTAACTATTTCTCGTGCAATTCTTTGTCTCATAAGCTACAAAATTTAAGTTTTTGAGTGAATTAAAAAAATACCAAAAGTTTTTCTCGGAAAGAATAATCCCCAATTCGTGTTTTTTGCCTAATTTTTATACATAAAAAGACCTTTTTCCGTTCCATTTTTTAAAATATTTTAGTAAATATTTTAGTAAATCTAAAAAAAAAAATTACGAAATTGATTTTCAAGATTTTTTTAGAGTTTTTTTTAGAAAACTGTACGTCATCGGTAAAAAATAAAAAAAATACCAAAAAGTTTTTCCCGGAAAAAAATCCCCATATAAAAAGCAATCATATTTTTAGGTAAAATTCCATCAGTAATATTCAATAATATTTTTATGAAATTCAGGTGTTCACGAACATTCGTGCAAATTTTCAAAAAAGTCAATTTTTCTTAAAAGTTCCCGATTTTTTTT